TTTGAAGCAATCAGGCGGTAAATTGTTTGTATTTTTTTCTGTTTCCATGTATTTTTTCTGTTTCCTTGAGTTCATGAAGAATGACGAGGGTGCGGGGGTTAGAAGGGCGGTACATTCAGCTTTCCGATGGAATAGTTAATAGCCTTCAAAAACAGCTTTAATTGGTTTAATATATGAATTGTGAGAGAAGATTAAAGGGAAACGACTATTTTTCATGAAAAAAAAACAAGAGTGCAGAGTGTTCATATCTCGTCAAACTTTCTCTAGCTTGTGTTGTTATGAAGCAACATCTGACAGGTTTCAATTATTGATTGTAAATTTAAAACTTCTTTTTCAATAATATAGGTCTTTTATAATGATGATTTTTAAATATTTTTTTGTCTTGAAGTCCTTAAGTCTGAAGTCGTCTTAAAGTTTGTTCACGCTCAAACTTGACTTTTTGTTTCGATTTTTGATGTTTATAACTTGAATTCAATTCCTTTGTTTTAAAAAAGGCAAACTTCACTATTGACTTTTTGTTTAAAAAATTTAGTGTAGTTTTCTGAATTCCCAGCAGAATAAAAGTTTATTTATTGATCCAGTTTTCTATAAATGGGATCATTTTACAAAAAAAAACTATCACAAACAGTATGACGATCACAAACAGTATGAAAATGTTGAACAATTTTTGGTCAATTTTATTTTATTGGTTTCCTTGTTTTTTCAACTCTTCTTTCAACTGTTTGTTGTCTATGTTGATTTTTTTAGCCCCACATAAGTTGATAGTGGGCATGAACATGGTGCGCATATTCGTGGACGACCCAACCCCAATTGCTATGATTGTCACCCTCACCCTTATCCTGTTAATGGCAATCGCGGTCAGGGTCAATATTGAGGTCAAATTACGTCGGCGGTGAGTTTTGAGAAAATGTTTGATAATGATTATGAGAACCTATTAGCTAATTGGCAGTCGTTAGGGTGTTTTCCGTGATGTGATTGTTTTACTACTTATGTAAATTATTCATATCAAGGTGTTTTCATATCTCCCTCTCTCTTTTTTTTGAGCAAACTGGTAATAGGCGCTCTCTTTTTTGCAGTGGTTTGCGGTATGAAGGCCCATTCAGCAAAAAGCGGGGAAGAGAAAACAAAGGAGGAGATGGCACTCTTCAGAATGGAGTCAGATTATGGTAAGAATTTTCAGAATTTTTCATGCTCGTGTTATTAAAAAGAAAGGAACTTTTCGACGCCATCAACGCCATCGAAGCACGAGATTTAGCAAGATTTTACATCTTTGAAGCTCTAGTTTTTGCTCTTTGGGTTTTTTTTTGCTAACTTGGGTTTGTTGCCATTTTTCCTGTCTGGCGAAAAACTTGAACCTAGCGCTGATGAAAACCGCAAATTATGATCATTTTTTGCTCTCTTTAGGTTCACTGTCATTTTTTCCTGTCTGTTGGCTATGTTTTGCAAAACTTGAACCTAATCAGGGGCGGATCTAGGATTTTCTCGAGGGGGGCAGACTCAATTTTTTTAGGTCAACCAAATTGACTTTCTGAGCTCTCCCAAAGCTTTAAAAAGACCCTGTTTTGGTAAAATATCTGCGCCGCTGACAAAAATTTAAAAAACAAGCCAAAAACGGCATTTTTAGGCACTTTTTTGAATTTTCGACCAAAAAATCAACGCCCCCCTCCCCCCTAAAATCGGCCCCTGAACCGAATATTTCTGAAAACCGCATTTTATAATTTCTTGGCTCGCTGTGCTGCAAATTGGTCACATTTTGAAACTTCATTTAAACTTTATGAAGTGAATTGCTGAAAAAAAAATACTTGTGGTTCTGAAACCAATCAATTAAATCTTAAGCACATTACTTGGGTTGTCTTTATTTTGAAAAAATTAGCCAATTGTAAAAGATTCTTAAAAATCAAAAATTGATATCTTTTTTGGTTTACCTGAGTTCGTTTACGCTTTTCCATTTTCTGTTGACTGTGTTTTTATATTTTTGAATTCACCGACCATTGGTGCTTTTTGAAAGTCGATGAACGTAATTCAGACTCTTATTTAGGTGCCGATGATTTTTTTCGTTTTTTTTTCCAGAAAGTAACGGAATATTTGTGCTCGGGGTGGGTTTTTTTTTCTTCAGACAAATTTGGACTTTTTAAATAGCCACATTTGACGGAATTTTTTTATTCAAAAGGTATTGTTGTCCTGAGCTTAAATTTGAAAAGATATTTCACCTGTGATCATTTTTCGTAATGTTATGAGGGTTTAAAGATTGCCATTTTGACCAATTTGGGACAATTAACGCGCGATATAAATCGCGCTATTAACGCGTAAGCGGAGATTTAATCCGTCTTGAAAATTGTTCCAAATTGGTTGAACGAAGCTTATTTTTCATAATTGATTTGTTACAAGTAGCGAAATCTATCCTTTTGTACTTTATATGGCGTGTGGGGGGATGATTTTTCTAAAAAAATTTCAAGTTTTAGAATAAAAAATTTCGTTTTATTTTATTTCATATAATTTTTTTGATTATATTAATCAGGGGCGGATCCAGGATTTTCCCGAGGGGGGGGGGGGCAGACTCAATTTTCTTAGGTCGACCAAATTGACTTTCTGAGCTCTCCCAAAGCCTTAAAAAGACCCTGTTTTGGTAAAATATCTGCGCCGCTGACAAAATTTTAAAAAACAAGCCAAAAACGGCATTTTTAGGCACTTTTTTGAATTTTCGACCAAAAAATCACCCCCTCCCCCGCCTAAAGTCGGCCCCTGAACCGAATGCTTATGAAAACCGCATTTTATAATTTCTTGACTCGCTGTGCTGCAAATTGGTCTAATTTTGAAACTTCATTTAAACTTTATGAAGTGAATTGCTGAAAAAAAAATACTTGTGGTTCTGAAACCATCAATTAAATCTTAAGCACATTACTTGGGTTGTCTTTATTTTGAAAAAATTAGCCAATTGTAAAAGATTCTTAAAAATTAAAAATTGATATCTTTTTTGGTTTACCTGAGTTCGTTTACGCTTTTCCATTTTCTGTTGACTGTGTTTTTATATTTTTGAATTCACCGACCATTGGTGCTTTTTGAAACTCGATGAACGTAATTCAAAATCTTATTTAGGTGCCGATGACTTTTTCGTTTTTTTTCCAGAAAAAGTCTTAAGATTTTTTCAAGCCCAAATGTACTTTTTCCCGGTTTGACATTTGTTTTCTTTTCAAGTTTATGTCTTTTCTTAAAACCGTATTATTTCAAAGAATTTTACACTAATACGAAAATTGAAAGCATGGTTTTGAATTTTAAAAAACTGAAAAAAGCTGTAAACGTGAAAGATTCATTAAAAAATTATGAAATTCAGTTTTTGCTAAGACTTTGAGGTTAAGATGAGCAAAAAAATTATATAAATTGAACAAACAAAGCAATTGTTTTTGTTTCGGTTTGTTACACTTTAAATCACTAGTCAGAAATTTTTTTGTCGATATGATTGGAATAGTCGAGAATTCCTTGGACATTTTTCCCCGTAGGCTTTTCGAGCTGTTTATAAGGTGGGTGAAACTAGATAAGATTTTTTTTCTAGCGTTTTGTTTTTTTTGTTTTAAATTCTAAATTTTAGTAATCTAAAGGTTTATCACTTATATACTTGATGTACATTAATTTTTTTTCAAATGAAGGTCTTCAAACGCTTAAGCTTTCATTATGTGTATAATTAGACTTAATAACGCCACCAAATCCAATTTTTAACGGTTTTTTGAAATTCAACAAATGGTTTCTTTGTTCATTATATATTTTGCTCCAAGCAAAATAATTCTCAAGATAACCGCAATAAACGGGTTTAAAATTTTCATTGGTTGTATTTTTTGTTCACCATTTGCAGCAAGTTTCAACTTGGTAGATTTTTATAAAAGTATTCAACGAAGCCTTGATTTATTACTTTAAATAATTAGTCAGGGTTTTGTAGGAAAAAACCGGTACTTGTTTTGTTTGTGTTATTCTCGTTATCCTTGATTTGTTGGCAGCTCTAATAAACCTCTTGATTGGCGAAATACAAATCGAAGCAAATCGTCTGTCATTGAGTAATTTCGAGTTAAATGAAACCAAATGGAACCAAATGAAAGCTTGTGCTTGTTGTTCCGACTTTCGATACGAAAGTAACGGAATATTTGTGCTCGGGGTGGGTTTTTTTTTCTTCAGACAAATTTCGACTTTTTAACTAGCCACTTTTGACGGAATTTTTTTAAACCATTCAAAAGGTATTGTTGTCCTGAGCTTAAATTTGAAAAGATATTTCACCTGTGATCATTTTTTGTAAAGTTATGAGGGTTTTAAGATTGCCATTTTGACCAATTTGGGACAATTAACGCGCGATATATTTCGCGCTATTAACGCGTAAGCGGAGAGTTAATCCGTCTTGGAAATCGTTCCAAATTGGTTGAACGAAGCTTATTTGCCATAATTGATTTGTTACAAGTAGCGAAATCTATCCTTTTGTATTTTATATGGCGTGTGGGGGAATGATTTTCATAAAAAATTTCAAGTTTTAGAATAAAAAATTTCGTTTTATTTTATTTCATATATTTTTTTTTATTTCATTACTGCTGCTCCATAAACCTTAAAGGCAGTCGGAACATTCAGGGCTTCGCCCTGATACGAGCAGTCTTGTTTTATTTGTATAGGGAAGTTTTTGGCCTACGTTTTTTTTGATGCTCCAAATTCAGAAGAAAAAATGATATCATTTTGATGATTGAAGTGCTTTTTATCTCGGTCTGGTCTGATATACAATATGTCTTGCACTCAATACCAACAATATAAATTAGCTGGTATCAAAAATCTATGGTTGGATTTGAAATTTGCTAATTTGGCGAATTCGGAAACATTAACATGTAAACAGCAAATAATTCCGACTCAGAAATTTTTGCCAAATTAAAGTAAAGCACGCTACCAAAACACTTAAAAATAAATTTTAATTAGAAAAATAGTACCAAAAGTACCAAACATTTTTATATTACCAAAATCTATAATTGCAATTTTAATAATGCAGACCCGCGTGATATAATTTCCACCGTCATTTAATGGAATTTTGATCAATACGACAAAGTTATTGATCATCTACAGGGGGTCCTTCCGGATAGAGTTTTTGCAGCCACTCCTCAAGTACAGGCGATGCATTTATGTCTTTCTCCGCAAGTTCAGCTAGATCCAATTTTTCTTTCTTTTCCGAGGCTTTTTTTATTTCCGCTTCCAATAATTCGAAAAGCACATCGTAACATTCGCCACTGAATGGGTCCATATGCAGGCCATTAAAAACAAACTTTGCGACATCGAGGAAAATAACACTTGATCCACGTGTATCTATTTGCGATAAACACCATCTCGCAGATTCGGCACAAGATCTGCCAATTTCCCGTCTGTTTGCTACTAAACTACACGAAGATTCCGTATTCAGACTGTTTCTGTATTGCTTGAACAGGGCATTGGTGATATCCAATCTTGAATTAAAACTTGATAGGATGCTTTGATACTGACTTAGAGAAAAAAGTGATGCGCTATCGTCATCCGGGTTCTTTTGAGACTAAACGGGGAGATATAGTAATTTTTTAAACAAAGAGTTTTACGCCTCTATCTCGTGCCACAAAAAGGGACTCTTTTCCGTTTTCCCCTATTTTTCCCCAGAATTTTAATTCCAAATGTGTTTTTGCTCAATAATGGCTAAATGAGGTAACCCAGCTTTTCAAGGTCAATTTTTTTTGTCTTTTTCTGGTACATGCATGATCACGACTTGATTTCTTCATTTTGTAAGTCTTTTTCTAACAATTTGTAAGACTTTTCCAGAAAAAAAACTCCTGCACTTTTATTTTAGTCAATATAAGAATAGAAACTCTATATGTCCCTTTTCTCTAAAGCCAGCTGCTCTTTGGAGGAGTTGCAGAAACTCAAAATGATTATAGTAACTTGTGTCCATTCGTGGTATTGTTTGAACATGTAAACTCGTAGTTTCAGATCGATTGTTTTTGATCAAATCGTTCAGGAATGTACATTTAGAGGTCTTGTTCGCTTCCGTAATGAGCCAATCCTTTTCATGCTTTAGTGTTTTTAAGACATCTTGGCAAATTCGAATGATTTGAAGATAACCCTTCGAAAAATTTGGATTGAACCAAACCGAATATTTTGCATACTGAATACCCATAAAATAAAGAAGCCGGTTAAATTTGTCCTTTTTTGAAATGTTGAAAATGGTTTCGGTGAGTGACTTCAACAAAACAAGGATGAAATTTGCTGCTTCCGCTCTGAATTTTACAGCTGGCGCTTTACAGCCTGATTTGATACACTGGCGATATTCTTCTAGCAGCACACTGAAAGAAAGAGTGTAATAATTGAATTTTTTGATGCCGACCCCGAAAATCGTGAAATGTTTGACCTCTTGTAATGAATTCTCGACGTCTTCCCACGAGTATTTTAACTCATTTGAAATTTCTGATTTTATTATCATTGGATCCGATAACCGTTGTTCGCAAACATCATTTCTCTGTTCTTTTAAGGAACAGCAAAATTCAGTAATGTCAATCAAGTCCCTCGAAGTATAACTAATGTTATATGTCAAACCGTTGAAACACTGTAGGTTTGCCGAGCATTCGCCTTCTGCTAATTGATTGATCTGGTTTTCAAACTCATTTCCAATAATTTTGATCACCGCTGATATTTTCCGATTTTGATACCACGTAAGAGCTTGGAGAGAGAGTGCGCGAGCGAAATTAGAGAAAATTAGTACCATTTGATCCCCATCGAATAAACAGTGTTGAACTTCAACTGAACACGAACCGAAACTTATCTCTGCTAATTTCATTTTTTTCAAGCATTTCATCTCTGGTATGGTTCCAATGATAACTATGGTGGATTCACATTTCTTTAGACTCTTCAGCAAAATTGATAAATATAATGGCAGACTGTCTTTGTTCACTAGATAGTGACGTTCATTGCTGTTTATTAGTATTGACTTTTCGTGCTCATTCATTTTTTAACACATTTACATGAAATTATACAATATTAAACTGGTTTGTTGTTCCGACCACCAAAATTGCGGAGGAACTTTGTCTTCGGGTGTATTTAAGATTTTTATCTGTCGCTCTAATTGAAGTAACGCATTTGGAAATCATAAAAAAAAACATTCCATTTTTTTTTTCATTTTTCCGTTTTTTCAGAAAAATAGTTTTACGATGGTTAAAAAAATCCCGCTTAAAATTAGATTTCACAAACAAGCATTAGTTTGGGCTGAGTGGTATATTATTTTAAGTCCTTCTCAGCCGTGATTCGAACGACAGTTTAAATTATCTCGCGAAAAACGAATTTGAAATGTTTGTTCATAGTTTATTTTCGTATAAATAAAGCGAGCGAGCCAGTGCAATTAAGTAAAGTTTTATGTTGAACGCAAAAGTTTTGCTTTACTCCACCAAATTTGGTGTTTTGCATTTTTTCGGGAAAAAAAATATTTTTGTGAAAATTTTTAAAAGTTTCTAAAAAAAGCTTTTGAACTTTTAAAATTTTTAAATCGTATTTCGTCTCATTTTTTAATAAGTATCTACTTGTTTATGACTATTGAAGATGCCTAATTTCTAGGTTTTTGTTCAGATCATCACAATTTCAAAATATTTTTTTGCTAAGTTTATAATTCAAATTAATTTTTATGAAATTCTTTATTACAGCAACTGGCTATCATTGTTTTTGAAAATTTTTAGATTCTTAAGATTGAGTTTAAGGTGTTAATGAAAAATTAAAACTGGGTTCATCCAACTTTCTCCTTTTTTTCTGTATGATCTTATCTGAAGAAGAAACTGCTGACATTAGATGGTTTTGTTTTCTGTTTACAGCTAAGCCGGTAAAAAATATATATTTTTTTCGCATGAGCTTTTTGTTTATATTATTGAAAGCATTAAAAGTCGTACAATTGGGATAAATGGGCCTCAATTTCCTCTATACTCAGGGCAGTTTTTGTACTTGCTAAGTCGGTAGCAACAACGGCCAAGTTGGTTGTCGCCCGGGTTGCAGACACGAAAAATCTTCGTATGAAATTCAACGGTGAGATGTTCACTGAACGTTCTAGGAGTACTATGACACATCCGAACTCAGTGCCACCTACAAGTGTAGAAGGCTCCAGTCTAATAGTGGGTAAATTTTGGTCGTGGTTCTTCCTTCCGGACACATTTTTATATGACGCCGAGCAGAGATTCAGATTTTTCTCTTTCAATTGGGAAAGAATGTTTAGTTGGCTTTTGAGCGACAAGAAGTCAAATATCACAAGAATTTCTAATTTATCCATTTCTGATTTTTCTGAAACAAGATTTCTCGTTGGAATTGACGTTGACAATTTGGTTGATGTTTCAGTTGCGTATTTACAAACCGTTTCGACGCATTTTTCCCAGAAGTACTTAAAATCACAACCATCGCTGGCTCGGTAGATTTTTATATCTGGACTGTTGCTTCCTATCAGACTATGACTAATGGCTCCATTCATATCCGGAATCGATAAAGTGTTTTTCAGCAAGTTATTGAAAAATATTTGTAGGCTGCTGGTGGACCTTAGAGCAAGTGTCAAATATAAGCTTTTGAAGGAATTTATGGCGCTATATCTTCCCTCTGAAGAAAAAACACAGCAATGAGCTCTTTTGTTCAACTGTGCCAGAAAGTTCGAGTGCACATTGAAATAAGTCTCATCGAAGAAAACAATGCAATTTTCTGCTATATTGTTCAAGGTTTCATGCAATTTTCTGTAATCTATGACAAATTCGATTCCTGTGTTTTTCAACTTCAATCTTAGTTGTGAAAACAGGAGAACAGGTGAGCCCCTATCGCCATTGCAAATGATAACTCTGCCGCCATTTTTCTGATTCTTAAATTCCAGCTCAGCTAAACGAGCCAAATATATCATAAGTATCGTTTTACCTGTGCCTTTAGCTCCTTTTACCATTACCCGCATTCCTTCATTTGTCGATTTCATCAGCCCTTTGAAGACAGTGGCTATAACATTAACCTGCTCTTTCGTCCAGAAAAAAAATCGTCTTCTTCCATTTATGGGCGGTGTAGAAATTTCCTTCATAAACTTTATCAATTTTTTTTTGCACTCTTTGTCTTCTTCTTGTGGAAGAGTTTCACTAAGTTGTTGCTCAAGTCTATTTCTTACTTCGCTATTTTTGTTGAGAACATTAAAGGATTGCAACTCATTTGACACAATTTTCTGGTGAATCACAGCGCTGGCCCCGTTCTGTGAGTTGAGTGCAACAAGTCGAGCGACCAAAATGTCGAAAGCCGCAGAATTTTCCATTGATGAGATTTTTTCTAATTCTTCTTTCCATTTTGTCTCAAATTTTTTTAAATCCGATTTTTGAAACACTATAACATTACCAAGGCCGCTTTTCTGAACAACACCATGATTGTACCAATTTGCGTCATTATCTGCAAGTTTTGTTAGTGAGCTTAAATCGTCAGGAATATAGCAAAAAACTGCATGAATTCGAACTGTATCCGTTTCAGTAACCTCACTTTCTCCCCTTGATGACAAGGTTGTTGATTGATCCGAAAGTTTGCTGTAGTCCAAAAGATATCGTATAAAATTGGTATGCTTCAACATTTCTGATTGGAGTTTTTCAATCCAGTCGTTTTCGTCATTTTGTTTATTTTTTCCAAATCGGAATCCGCTTTCGTTCTTGACATTGAAAACGAAAATTCCTTTCCAAGGGTGAGCTACAATCATATCTATTTCGACTGAACCCAAACCACCTTGTTTGAAAATATGATTCCCATTAACGTTAGGGAGAACAATTATACCTCCATCGTCCGTTGCGACTTCCTTTAGAAAAAATCGGTAAATTTTCCCTTCACCATCATCACCTTTTCGCTGTGAGTTGAAATGTTTTTGAAGGCATTTGCTTGAATAATCTTTCCGTACAAACACTTTAGGTATCCTTGCGCAGGGTATTGATGTTACCTTTCCTGGTTTTTTCCAATCGGGATACAGGCATTCGAGGAAACACTTCAAAGATTTATTATGGTTAAACTTGACTTGAAAATTGCCGGCGCACTCAATATTGATTTCGTCGAGCTCTTGGTAAAAATTCTCCAGCTCTCTTTTGAAATCTGGTTCCGAAGTAGTTTGATTTTTAGAGGTTGTTCCGTTATGTTTGAAATTTATCGTTCGATAATTTTCACTTTCTGTTTTGTCGTCTGAAGTCGGATGAACTTTAACATTATTTTCTCTATATGGTTTTTCACTATGAAATGCTTGATTGGAATTTTGAGTTCCTGAGAATTGATTGCTTTCAGCTCGCATTAACTTGTTATTTTTAATGCCTGGATCATCACGAGCATCTTGAATATCATCGTTTTCAAGAATCGGCCGATTATGTCTCTTCATTCTCAGCGAATTTTGCAAACCCAGCTAATAAACACAACATAAAAAAGGATAGCCGGTTGTTGTGCAAGTAGCACAGAATGTTCCGACCATTGACTACAAAAAAAAATTTCTTTTTTCAAATTAATGTAATTTTTTCTGTGGCGTGATAAAAGGATCTGACGTAAGTTTATAGTTTAGGCATAGTTTCGACAATCAAAACAATATTAGCAAATTGGACAAAAATGACTAGAAAAACAAAACCAAAATTTTTTTAAATTGAAAATCAGATTTTTTTTGCAAATAATGTTCGAACTTTTTGAAGTTTTTGGTTCCCAAAATGGAGCTAAAAAAACTCCTAAATTAATTTCACTTGCTTAAAACTAAGTTTAAAGGGCCTAAGTTAGGCACAGTTAAGTTGTTGTGAGCCTGCTTGCTTGCTTTTTTCGCTCGAATTGAGACAAAAAAAAATCAAAAATTTCGAACCGGTTTTTCTCGACACTGGAAAAAATTTTCAAAATTATTGGTGGTACCTAATTTTGCGTGGAAAAAAAACATACACGAATACAGAGCTCTTCCAACTTTCAATGGTCGGAACAATAAGAGTACCATTGCAGCCTATTATTTAGCTTCCCGTTTTTTTAATGATTTAAATTGATGTATCAGAAAGCAAATATTTAATACTAGCCAAGTAGGATCCATTATTCTAAGTTGATCAGCTTCCTGGAAAATCGGCTTATGAAAAGATTGAAAATATGGATCTCAACCTATTTGCTCTTTGACCAATCTTTAAAACTTCAAAAACCTCAAAACTACTATAATTAGATTAGAAAAATATTAAGTTTTGGAATTTTGCGTCTTAAAGCAAACCCGAGAAAAACAAAAAAAAACTTATTTTTCAAATAATTTGTTTTTCATTTTGAAACAAGATAGTCTTTTAAGAATTAAGAAAAAAATTAATCTTGAAAAAAAAATAAAAAGCTTTCGAGATACAGAGAGCATACTGATGTAAACCTTTTGTGTTTTAGATGTAAATAAGAATCAACTCCCCAAAAGTTTTGTAAAACTCCAAACGATAAAAATTAGAACTGAAAAGCTCATTGATATTCTGATTGCAGTCTAAAAACTGCAGAATTCATCCAAATATTAACAGTCATAAGAAGTTTCAATTTAAGAAAACTGATGTTCTGATGTTCTTTATTCTGATAATCTTCTTCTAGCTGACAAATTTAAAACCTTTCAGTGTTAGTCAAATTCATTGAGTCAAAGAACGCAAGGAAAAATTTTTATTTTTAAACATAAATTTGAAATTTTTTGCGCTTTAGGAAAAATTTATGATTGACGCCTTTTTGATAGAAGAAATTGAATAAATAGATAAGATTTGTATTCCGCAGGGAAATCTGAAAAAAAAATCCAATTCCGTACTTCAAATTGATCACGTTTCTTGTGAGGTGTACTTTTTCTTGTTTAATGGCGGTTTTGTCATCCTTTAGCAAAAAAACTGAATTTAACTAAAAATGTATCAATATCAAACAGGGAAACACCAAATTTAAACGTGAACCAATTTTAGGACTTTTTGTTGGTAAAAATTAAATCAATCATCACAACCTAAATAGAAGTCTTCAATATGTTCAATGACTCATAAAAATTAAACAATCATGGCGCATTATGAAACAATAACTCTAAAAAAATGAACGTTGATAGTTTTCTCTGACCGCTTCTCGGTCAGTCCGCTTCATATACTGATCAAGATAGAGTTGATTTCTACATAACCTTACTTTGACCATTGCTTCCCCAGAGTGATTGAGACTCTGGAAACTAAGACTAGGACTAAGAATTACTAAAAGATCAAAACATTCACCTAATATATCCGGACAAAAAAAGAGCGGATGGTGTAACATAATACACAACGGGGAATCCACACTTTGACCAAAATATAGTTTCAAAAAATTAACAAAAACTCAACTTTTCGCTTCTGGTTCTTGAACTTCAAGTTTATATAGTGTAAAAAACATAATTGATTTTATGCAAAAGCTTATTGAAACAAGTTTTCTTCAAAATTAACTTTTCCTATATATTTTCAATTTTTACTTTTGCCAACAGTAATGAAATCTTTGTGCTCTCGTTGTGTTTTTCCCTAGAAAATTTTAAATTTTTGAAGGAAAGTTGGTGGAAATAATGGTTTGGTATAGTCTGAAAAGTTTTGACGCACTAGGCTTAAGAAAAATATCTCATCTGCGACTTTTTGTTATATTTTGGGGGTATGAAGAATGCCCATTTTGTCAAAGTTGGATAATCGTTTTTCAAAGTTTCGAATTTTTTATTAATCGGCAACATAGGCAGCGCTTCGCCATCAGAGTCTCGTGGATAATAATCGAATACTTTGGAATCTTTTATCAGTCTCTAAAAAACTCGAAAAAGATCGATTATATTCAATTTAAAAAAATTATAATCTTAATTTTAGTCAAATCAAAAAAATCCATTTGAATTTAATATAATCAACTATTTTGCATTATATTTTTTTATTAACTATTCTAAAAATCCGCAGTTTAAACACAAAGGTTTATTTAAGGCTTAACAGTTGCGTTTGGTTTGATACGCGTGACATCAGATGAAATTAAGCTTACTTCGGGTTTAAAATTGTTAATTTGTTTTCAATTTTTTGGTTCAAATTTTTTTTCATATTTTTTTTTATTTTACTTATTTTTTGTTGATATTTTCTATATTTATTGTTTACTCTCCCTAGCCCAATTCGCCTTTTTTGTCTTTCCTCTAGCATATATCCCCCCCCCCCCCCCCAACGCCCCATCACGACGTGTTCACCACCTTTTTCCTCTCCATGTGCAGACTTCCCTTTCGCTTATACCTCCTCGCTTACATCCCCCACTCCCGTTTACTCCCCTCCCCGTGCATTTCTTCTCTTAACTTTAACTGTGGAGTGTGGAGACGTGGGGGAGACATAAAATAAAAGTATAGGGGACTGGTATAAATGCGTGGGAGGGGATAGAGCGTGTGGATGTGGGTGGGGGGGGGGGGCAAATATGGATGTGGTGAGGGGGGTGGGGGGGGGGGGGGGGGGCATTGGAAAGCGAGGGTGTAAGTGGGTAAATGTGGTGGTGGTGAGTGGGGATGAACGGGTGGGGGTTCAAATGTGAGGGGGGGGTGGTACATGTGTTGGGGAGTTGGGGTATAATGTGGGGGTGGTGAATGTGGGGCGATAAACTGGGGAAGGGTTGTGGTTCGGGTGAACGTGGGGGCGGGGTAATTGTGACTTTTATATCAAAGTAGGATTGCGAAAAGGCCGTGAGTAACGCAGAAGTTGCTGCAAGTTTTGCAAGTATTTTTATAAAAAAAATTTATAAAGATAAAAATCCATCATAATTAATTATAATGGTTTTTAAATGAATTATAATCTATTAATAATGGTTTTTAAAGGATTGCGTTTTTATAAAAATAATCGATTTTGTAGTCTCTATTTAGACTCTCCCCCCCTCCCCCCCCCCCCCCCTCCCCCTCTGCAATATTTTACTGGTTAAATTTTGTTCACGTTTTCTGAATGTTACGAAAAGTGGCCTGTGAACTAAATAGGCCATGGCAAACATCTTTGGTCTTGTTTAACCTTGTAACAGCCCTCGTTACACCATAAAATTGATGCTTATTTGAGGTGGGGGAAAGGAAAAAGAGCCTACATTTGCAACAATAATTTGCACCAAATAATTTACAACATTTTAGAGAGCAATTTTCCGTTATAATCAATTATTATCTACAGAACTCCGGTGCGGGTTGCTTGAAGTTTTTTGTAAATAACTGAAACCTAATCAGAAGCAAAGTTGTCTTTTTATATTTTCATAAATGCGGGGAATTACATTTTTTCTCAAAAAAAATAAAAAGATTACAAGTTTCAAGTTTTTTGCCAAAAAAGTGGTCGTAAATGCGCTAAATTTAAATCGGAACGATTGTTCAAAAGTGGACAGGGCACACAGCTCTTCCTTAAACTGAAAATTATCAAGTGGGTTTTTACGTTTTGTACAAATACAATGCGGACCAGTTAAGCCGAAGGAACTTTTATGGCGGACCGCATTTAAGCTAAAGAGTAGCAAAGGTAGAAAATTACATAAAAATTGACAACATTGTCAATTGTTTCTGCGCTTCTTGCTTTGACTAACCTGTTGCAATGTAGAGTAACCTGTTTCTGCTTTAGTTTGAAAGCACAAATAAGTTCAAATACAAAACTTATACAAGAAAAATATAATCGAAAAAATGAATGAGAATATATGAGCGAAAACTGCAATTTGACAGAATTGGAATTTCTTGGAAACTAGATAAGATAAAAAAAATTTAAAAAATTGGTTTGTGATAAAATTGACGCGAAATGTGATATAAATAATGAAGACATTTTTTTTGAAAATAGCTCAGCATTCACTCTCCTGGGAAAAATTAGCAGTTTCAAATCAAAATGGTTTTGAAGTTGGTCTTCTATAATTGACAGCCAACAAATACAATGATAACACTTACAATTATAAATAGTTCTTGTTTTTTTATGATTTTTAAGTACTACTGTCCAAAAGTGGTAAGTTCAATTTCAATCATATAAACATTTTTCTTTTATTTAGTTATAAATAAGATTTGAAAAACTGATAAATGAACTGCTATCAATAACTATTTAATCTTTTTTTTGTGAATGCGATTTTAAGCGATTTTCTTCAGTTCAGTTTTTTGTTATTTTCTCAGCAATTGAACGCACGTGTAAATATATACGTACCATCTTTTGTACCATATACGTACCATCATTTCTAATCAACAAGTAAAAACGTAGAAGAATAAATGCGCGTTAAACGCAAAACTTGCAGAAAAGTTTTGAGACGACAAGAGAATAGAAAAATCACCCCGACACGTCTCAAGGAGCCGCAAAAAAAGTCAAGATCGATTAAAACCAAAATTATAAACGAATAAAACAAAGCATGCATATTAAAATGCATGCAAGAGGCGAATATTTTTGCTAATCGGTTTGAGGACCGAAAGTCACTTGCAGGCTTTGAACATCACATCACGACTTGTAATTTTCAGATAAAAGACTCAAACTCTTTTTTTGGTTTTCATTTGTTGCATTTGAAAACTTATTTCAAACATCTGTTCTAAAATCAAACCTCCACGCATATTTTCCCTCACCTACTTTTTGAGAAACAATTGAGATATGATTTTAACTGTTTGTTTTCATTTCTTATGGCGTACATAGCTTCTAGTGCCCTCTTGTAACCTCACTCAGGATTGAGAGCCAGCCCAAGAATTAAACTCACTTTCGTTCGTAACTCATTGTCTTTTCTGTAATCAAGCGCCAGTCCTGAGTCTTTGATTTTTTGCCGACTAGTCGGCGCGCAACAATAGAAGCAGTCAGTACAGACACTTGCGCATGACCCTGAATCCTTTTACCTGAAAATGATTTACCGCACACACACACCAAATATTGCAAACGTTTCAAGAGTAATTTTGAAACTGTTCGTCGGTGTTTGTCGTTGGTTGCAACCCGCACCGGAGTTCCATGGATAAAAATCGATTATAATGGAAAATTGTTGACTAAAATGTTGTCAACATAATCCATTATTGTTTCAAATCAGACCACAAAATCGATTATTTTGTCATTATAATCGATTATTCTCGTAAAAACACAACCATTTAATTCCATTATAATGGATTATAACCCATTTAACATCCATTATAACTGATTATAACATATAATAATCTTTACATTTTTTGCAAAATCATCATCTAAACCTACTCAAATTAAAGTCTCCCTACCTCCTTTTGCCGCCCCCTATCCGCACTTGTCCAAATCCCCGCCACCACACTCCCCTACGTTTATCCCTACGCCCAACCTAATGTTTGCTAAAGTTTACTCCCTAACCCAACTCCCCAAGTAACAGTTTAACCACCCCCCAGTTTGCTTACCATTGAATGAGGACGGGAGAGGGGGGTTACCCAGTGTGAACACCATCTAACTACCCCATTCTCCATTTTAACTCCCTCATCCAAGTTTTTTGTTTCACCTCCCCCCATTTTTACCCTGTCCACGTTAACGGGGGTTAAACTAAGATAGGGGGAGGGGGCGGGGAAAACTGACAAGGGTAAACTGTGTGGGGGGGACTGGGGAAGGGGGTTGTTAAAAGGGGCGATGGAGTTTACGTAGTATAGAAAAGTTAGAGAAAACTTAAATGAATAAAATCTTATGCGAGAACTAAAAATAGCAAACTTCATAATTTCTCCAAACATATATTATAATCGATTATTATCTATTAAAATGGATTATAATGATTAAAACAGATTGTGATTATAATCCATTTTAATGGATTACAATCGATTATAATGGATCATACTGGCCTATATTGGCATAAAAAATACTATGATTATAATCGTATTGTCTTTGATGGATTGTAATCGATTATTTTGTAATTTATAGATACTGACTACATAACGTCAATATAAGCAATAATTAACCATGGAACTACAGTGCGGGAATCCTGTGATCAAAGTTCTTTACGGGCAAAAAATATAGTACCCGATTGCAATACCTTTGCTTAATGCAAGGTGAAAATTTTAATCGCACACTTTTTCCTATTACTTCTTCTGATTCATCTAATACGTTACCGACCTTGTTTAAGTTTTGTTCAATGCTTCCAAAATGTATAAAAAGGAGCTGGTTACTGGTTATTCAAAGAAAATACCGAGCGTCTTTTACACATTTTTGAATTATCTAACAACAAGCAAACCATTCGGAAGGTCGGCAGTTTGTTAGACGAATCATTAGAAGTAACAGAAAGCTACACTTTTGCATGATAACTCTAGAACTACATATCTAGAACTACATATCTGTAACTACATATTATGTTTGAATGTTCTTTAAGTTTTCTGGCTTTTAAAACCAAACCACGTGAACTTCAATGATTCACAAAACTGATTTTCTACTTACGAAGACGCTTCAAAACTAACTCTTAAACTCAAAACCCAATCATTACCTTGTTTGCACCAGACAATTGATTTAATGAACGCGAGCGAGCCAATATATTCATTAAACTCAAATCGACTTTCAGTTCGAAAGTAACGGAATATTTGTGCTTGGGGTGGGTTTTTTTTCTTTTGACAAATTTCGACTTTTTAACTAGCCATTTTTGACGGAATTTTTTTGACCAACTTGGGACAATTAACGCGCGATATTTTCCCGCTATTAACGCGTAAGCGTTGATTTAATCCGTCTTAGAAATCTTTCCAAATTGTTTTAAGGAAACTTATTTGTCATAATTGATTTGCTACTACGAGCGAAATCTATCACTTTGTTTTTTATATGGCAAGTGGGGCGATGATTTTCACAAAAAATCTCAAATTACGAGCAGTTTTGTTCATATTATAATCATATCGATCTCTTGGCCAAAAGTGAAATGATTTAAAATAAAAAAAAATAGAAGCGTTAGTGGGAGCATTGGCTTTAGTAAACTCCCTATTGCTATTTTTTTTTAATAGGGGAGACGTTTTTTATTCATAAATTCGTTTTACATGATGGTACTTTTTTAAAAGAAGGACTGAGTTTCTACAATGATTCTCTTTCAAAGGGTTCTGGTTTGTCTTGAAAAAAGGATAGTGATCATCACAGGAGACATTCCAGCGCGGTTGTTAAGTTTGGCTAAATTACAATGAGCTTGCTTAGAATGTATCTACCGGTGAGTCAAGTAGGTGAGAGAAAGCCATGGCATTCTCTCACCTGCTTGACGCACCGGTAGAGACTCCTGAAAAGATCCTGAAATTATCATTAAACTTTTTTCAAGACAAACCAGAATCCTTTGAAAGAGAATCTTTGCAGAAATTCAGTCTTTCTTTTAAAAAACAAAATAAAATGTTAACAACTTGATCAAAGGAAAACATTTAGACATTTTGTACAAATTTTTTTAAAGACGTTGGCTTGTGATCGATTATTTTTTAATTTATAGATACTGACTACATAACGTCAATATAAGCAATTATTAACCATGGAACTACAGTGCGGGAATCCTCTGATAAAAGTTCTTTACGGGCAAAAAATATAGTACCCGATTGCAATACCTTTGCTTAATGCAAGGTCAAAATTTCAAACGCACACTTTTTTCTATTACTTCTTCTGATTCATCTAATACGTTACCAACCTTGCTTAAGTTTTGTTCAATGCTTCCAAAATGTGTAAAAGGAGCTGGTTACTGGTTTTCAAAGAAATTAACGAGCGTCTTTTACACATTTTTGAATTATCTAACAACAAGCAAACCATTCGGCAGTTTGTTAGACGAATCATTAGAAGTAACAGAAAGCTACACTTTTGCATGATAATTCTAGAACTACATATCTAGAACTACATATCTGTAACTACATATTATGTTTGAATGTTCTTTAAGTTTTCTAGTTTTTTAAACCAAACCACGTGAACTTCAATGATTCACAAAACTGATTTTCTATTAACGAAGACGCTTCAAAACATACTCCTAAACTCAAAACCCAATCATTACACTGTTTGCACCAGACAATTGATTTAATGAACGCGAGCGAGCCAATATATTTATTAAACTCAAATCCACTCTCAGTCAATTGGATTCAAATTAGAGTCTAGTTTATTGTTCCGACTTTCGATACGAAAGTAACGGAATATTTGTGCTTGGGGTTGGGTTTTTTTTTCTTCAGACAAAATTCGACTTTTTAACGAGCCATTTTTTTGGACCAACTAGGAATTTTTTGGACCAAATTAGGACAATTAACGCGCGATGTATTTCGCGCTATTAACGCGTAAGCGTCGAATAAATCCGTCTTAGAAATCTTTCCAAATTGTTTTAAGGAAACTTATTTTGTCATAATTGATTTGTTACTACGAGCGAAATCTATCACTTTGTTTTTTATATGTCGTGTGGGGCGATGATTTTCACAAAAAATCTCAAATTACGAGCAGTTTTGTTCATATTATAACCATATCGATCTCTTGACCAAAAGTGAAATAATTTAAAGTGAAAGAGGAGGACATCCCAAAAAAAAAACAAAAAAAAATAGAAGCGTTAATGGGAGCATTGGCTTTAGTAAACTCCCTACTGCTATTTTTTTGTTTTATTAGGGGAGTCGTTTTTTATTCATAAATTCGTTCTACATGAAGGGTTCTGGTTTGTCTTGAAAAAAGGATAGTGATCATCACAGGAGACATTCCAGCGCGGTTGTTAAGTTTGGCTACCCGGGATGACCAAAAATACTAGTAATACAATTTCCAAATATGGAAAAATGCTAGTCATACACTTTCCATACAATTCCATACGTACAGAAAATTGCATGAAAGGTCTATGATTAGTATTTTTTCATATATGGAAATTGTATGACTAGCATTTTTCCATAAACCAAAAATATTGATTTTTTACATTTTTAATTTCTCAAATCTTTTTGGTTCTGTTCGTAACCGAACACAAATGACATAAACCTTGATTACTCAAACGTAATTGGACCAACGGTTTGGCCGTCTCGCATTAAAACTGCATTGGAAACAGCCTGATATGTGCTACTTCTGTCTCAGACAAATAATGTAACGAAAGTAATGAACTTTTAGGTTTTGGCAATAATTTTCAAAGATGATTATTTCTATAATTTGAATTTTTAAATTACCAG